CGGCTCTAAAAAATATGGAACTAGAATCGAATCGGAAACTTGATTTCGGTTCCTTAACGGTTCCAAAAAAGACAATTTTGAATGGTTCTTCGACTGATTTGTTGGGCAATTCACATAATTTTAAATTAAAAAATTAGAAAACATTTTTTGTATAAAATTTAAAATTTAAATAATGTTTTATATAATTTGGTTGATGTTAAATTTTAATGGCTTGTTTCAAATTCACTAAAAAAAAAGTATACTAGAGGACATTCAAAATTGTCCCCTTAAGTTAAAAAAATTATCTTCAATACTTTTGGAGACAATTAACATCGTCCCCAGTGAGCATCCCTTTTAATGAGCGTACTCTAGTCTACAGGGGACAATTTATAATAAACCGTCTCCTTTCCGATGGACGATAATTATCCTCAAGTTAAAAGCCATACATCGTTCCTTCAATTTTAGACGAAAATTTTATCTAAAAATGTGGTCAATATTTGTCTCCTCTATATGGAACATCAACTGTGCCCAAAATTATCTCATAGATGAAATAAAAAACTTCCCACGAGGTCATCGTCTCAATACTTTTGGGGATAATTAATATCGTCGTCAGTGAGCATTCCCTTAATGAGCATACCCTATTTTAGAGGGGGACAATTTATAATAAATCGTCCCCTATCCGTTGGACGATAATTATCCTCAAATTAAAAGCCATATATCGTTCCTTCAATTTTAGGCAAAAATTGTATCTAAAAACATGGTCAATACTTGTCTGCTCTATATAGGACGTCAACCGTCCCCAAAATTATCTCATAGATGAAATACAAAACTTTTCAGAAAGTCATCTATCCTAAGATTTCTCTTAAACAAGCATGTTTAACTCAAGAGTTCTGTCAACTTTGTAAACCATTACACCAAACAATGTCTTCAATAATTAATTTCTCTCTTTTTAATATATAGCATACTTATTATTAATATAGGAGTCAGAAATTATCCCCTCTATATGGGACGTCAATCATTTCAAAATTGAGGATAATAATTATCATTAGTATACAAGATGTAAATTGTATCTCATACATACAGGACGTCAATCCTCCCTAAAATTGATAATGATAATTGTTCTTAGTATATGAGATGTAAAATGTATCTCATATATAGGACGTTAATCGTCCCCAAAATTTATGACAATAGTTGTTATTAGTAATGGAGATACCAATCATCACATCTCCCTTATGGGACATCAGTCGTTCTCAAAATTAAGGATAATATTTGTCCTTAGTATTAGAGACGTAAATCATCATTTATTATTGGCACAACTGTTATCCCAATTTCCAATTAAAATATTAGTAAGTTATCGTAATAAATATAAATTGTCCCCTTTGTGTGTTATTATCATAAAAGGGGATAATTGTTAAAATTGTCTCCTAATTTCAAGGGCTTATGACTTTTCGAGACAAATAATATTCGTTGTCCCAAATTCCCGTCCCCTTTTCTCACTTTTTTTGTAGTGACACTAACCCCTTGTAGAAGAAAATGCACGACTGCATCTAAACCAATTGCGTGGCAATGAAAATCAATATTGGCATAGGCACGAGTATCACAAGCAAGAACATGAGCACACATATGATGATTATTATTCATTTTGGCCATATGGTATTCCATATAACGGTGAAGTCAAGATTTGGAACCATGTGTGTTTAAAACTGAACCAAGCTTAGCTAATTTGGTTGGTTGATTCAACCAAAATATGCTAAAGAGCACAAACTTACTGCTGCTGCCACCGCTGGTCGCGACCACCTTTACTTCCTACATCTTCAGCTCCACCAATCAGGCCCTCTGCTACCACATAAATATCCATTATTGCTTGTCCAGGCTAGCCTCACTCATCAATCGTTCAATTGGGATATTTTAGCAACTTTTTGTATCATATCTCCATTAATATTATAATCGATTAATAAGGAAGAGCGGAAAGAGGTGACCACCATGATGGCTAGCCCCGGTATAACTTTTCCAAAAGACAAAAAAAAAAAAAAAGATTTTATTGGATGTTTATTGGTTTTAACTGTGTTTCGCTGTTGAGAAAACTCAAGAAAATAGAAGAATTTTTTTTAAAAAAAAAAAATTACAGCTGATTATTTTAAATTAATTGCAAGAAATTTATGACCTCGGTTGCAATTTGACTAATTGGTCTGAATGGACATGAGATTGGTATTATATAACCTAAATCACTTGCAATCAAAATGTTTCAAAAATTCAAGAAATCAGTACATTTTATCCCAAAGTAATCTGCATAAATTTCAAATTTAATTTGGATATAATGCAATATGTGATGCTTAGATTTTGTATTTTTTGTTTTACCGATAAGTATCTTATGTTCTCATTGTGACCTATGCCTATTTCGGTTTAGATGGCAATATGTGTTTACTAGCATGAACATAGTTTATCTTCCACCGTGTTAAGTTTCCACACCTTTTACGGAGTTTGGACTAGTGTGTTTTGGGATATGAGGCGTGCTTTATGCAGTACACAGAAAATGAAGATACTTTTATATTTTCTCTTTCGTATACTCTTCTACTGTTATACACAGTTAGCTTGAATTAGACATTAGCGGTGTTTCAGACTCAGGCTAACGGTGCTACACTTTGTCCCTGCACATGCATGAAAAACCAAAATGTGTTTTTTCATTGCAATAGGGTAGTGATCATTTGTTGGTTAGCAAGTAAATAGGGAATACTTGAAAAGCTAATGAAATTACAACCCGCTTGCCATTGCCCGATTACAATAAGATAGCGTAGTTGGATTTGATATCAATAATTATGACTTTGGAAGAATCGTATCGCAAAAGCTAGTTGTTTGAAGTTAGAAAATCGAAATTGGTGATTTACCTTAACCTCATTTTGATGGAGGGAAGATTGGAAAAACCTTCACATGTTAGAAATTTTCTTAGAAACAACTCTGGACCAAGGTAGAGAAGTTGATCAATAAATATGACATGTTACAGGTTATGAATCCATCAACTATTTATTATGTTTCAGATATTAATTCATGAAAAATAGTTTTCAGCTTTGGTTATTTTGGCTAAGGAGATGTTGCTGTTACTATTTACTAGAGAAAAATAATTTTTAATTCATTTATTTCTTATTGTTGACTGTATTGTACACATATAAATCCTTAGTGAAAAATTGACCTAAATGCAATAAAATGTCAAGTTTGCGGATTTTTTTATCCAAAAGTTCATTTATGGGTTCTTTGTATATTTGACCCAAATTTAGGATGCAAATTAAACCTTTTTCCAAATTCTAATGAAGATAGACCGGTAGACCAATAAGACAATGTAAATTTTCAACATAAGGTTCAAACAAAAGACCATAGAGATTAAGATATTGCAGATTTTAGAGATTTCCAAGTTGATAAGGAATCATTCCCTCAAATCCAGCATTAGCAAGGTTAAGGTGTCTTAAGCTCCCCAAAGAGCCAATGAATTTAGGAAATGGAGTTCCTCCAAATTACTGTTTCTCAGTTCCAAATATTTCAAATGTATCAAATTGAGCAAAGATTCACTGACCTTATCAACAAAGGCTGATTTTTGAAGATAGTCTCCATAACCATTCACAGCAGTCCCCATCCTCAACCCAAGATTCCAGCCGTTGACTTCAAAAGAGCTTCTCTCTCTTCATGAAGCACTCTGCATTGAATCTTCCATTGCAGAGGTCAATACCAATAATGATCATCAGGAATACTTCTCATTAAGGCTTTTAACGGCCTTTCTTGCATAGGTAAAGCTAATTAATGAAGTGTTGGTTCCATTAATTGAAGACAATGAAGTTAAAGAAAAAAGCCTTCTCATTCTTCGAGCTTGATAATGCCACCAACACTTTGGTTGTTTCTCAGAAATGCAAAGGAAGCATTCCTGGTTACCATTGAACTAAAATTTGTAGTAACCCCATTTTACCTTCTTGAATTTGCAGGGACATTTGCACGAGCACAAAAATACACCGGTTATATTTTCGAGTTTTCTTTTTCTATTTGAGCTTGAGCTGCTAATATTTCTGTTTTCTTAGTCTAATAAATATAATATTCAATAATTGAGAAGCCATTCCATTAAAGAATAAAGCTGAATTTACCCCATCTAACTCTCAGTTTAAAACTTTTGACACAAATTGACAATTTTGTCCACTTTTGTACTTTGGGCGTGTAGCTTAAAATAAGAATTGGTGGTGAGTTATAAGAATAATCTCTCTCTAACACAAACTGCATAGTTTCACACAATTGAAGGACTGAATTTGCAAGGGGAAAATTAGTGAGATTGAGAGCTACATAATTCTGAGATTGAGCAAGGAGTACCAAGAAGAATGATAAAATATTAAAAAGAATTTTGGATTGCTGGAAAATCGAGTTTCAGCATAATCCAAGAAGAAGGGCTCTTGATTCCATTGAAGCAATACAACAAAGAATTGATTTCTTCTGAAGAGAAGAGCCTTGCTTCTTGGATTATGTTTGCAGCCCTGCAATAATAATCCCCAATCCTTAAACTACAAATGATTTGACCAACCCACAATTAGATTAGATTTAACTATACATACAGTTAAAGTCGCTTACCTAGATATCACCCTCAGACTAAAAGCATGTGAAATAAACTTCCAAAAGTAGTTTCTGAAAAAATAAATTAATAAGTTAACATATTTATTTATATTTAAATATCCTCATTCACATTACAAGCTTTAGGCAATCATTTTAACTAGGATATCTACTAATAATTAAAGCAACCACTGCAGAAGTCGATGAAAAGAGAACAACTTAAATCTATTGGATTAAAAAACAACGCATAAACCCTTTCCACTGGTAAAAGGAAATACCTCCTGCCATGAGTCTATGGGAGCTAGAAAGGCTTGCTAAGACCGTAATCTATCCCAAAATAAATCATGAACTTCTTCGGTCAAGTTCCCAAGTTCAAAATTTGCATGCAGCAAGAACAAAATTCAAAATATCCAACAAAGACATTCAAAATGCAAACAAGCAGATCAAGGAGATCACAAAATTACCGAACAAGTATAGTAAGCAATGTGACATTGATCAATCAAAAACAAAAAGCTACTTTCAGTCAACTATGTATTTGAAAAGCTTTCCCACCTTTTGCTTATAGCTCTCTACATATGTGAATAAACAGGTCCTTGTAAACTATCAGGACTGTCAGAAGGCACAAAAAGGCCATGCAAGTAAAATAGAAACTATAAAGAAAAGAAAACTAGAAATGATAGACATCATATAAGAATACAAAGGCAACAAAACAAGAAACACTAAACCCAAACTTCTAGAGAATGAAAACCTATCAGCAGCCAACTCTAACCATAAATAAATAATTTTGATTTAAGAAGCCCACCAAACCTCACTGTAACTGAAGAATCTCAAGACGCTTTCCATCCCTTCAGATAATATTGCAGCTTTTAATGCAGCATCAGCTCTACAACAGTGGCCCAATGCTTGGGAAGCATTGATAGCAACTAGCTCAGCATTCTACTCGAGCAACAAATGTCAGATAAACCTTAAATTAATCCAATATAGCTGGGGGGTTGTAAGAGCTAGCAACCATTGGCAATCCCATTTGCTACCTTCCAAGTCTCTGAGGCAAGTGTCTTACTTGCCTTTGAGTCATCTCCAGCTTTTACAACTGACCCATTCTCTGCATGCTTTAGGTCCCCAATGGAATGGGCAATTAAAAGGGATTCCTGGGTCGCATCACTCACAACCTCCAGTGACTTGTGTGATCCATTTGCCACTTCTTTCTTCTCATTTTCAAGCTTTCCTTCCAATTCCTGCATGCATTAGAAAGTACAAAAAAGATTACATTTATAATATAGGAAATTCACATTACATAAAAGCAAATCGCAGTCAATTACCATACAAGCTCACTAAACAACATAACAGAGTTTATTAAGAAAATAGAACACAAAATAAATAAATAAATTGCAATATTAACTAGTGGACAAAGCAAGTCTTGCCTGTTTCTGGAACTGCTGTTGTTTAGCCTTCTTCTGCTGAATTATCTTCTGGCGCTTCTCATAGAATCCAAAATCATCCAAAATGCATGTCTTGCTAGAATGTTCTTTGAATATTTTGATCATTTTAAGCCCCTGCTCTAGCTTAACCTACAACATCCCCCACAAGTTCATTTCAGAAAAAACATTCAGAACAAAGAACATGAAATAGGATGGTGATAATTGTTCAGCTGACAAGGGAAAGGTATGAATACCTCTTGTGTGTCCCTGCTGTTAGTTACTGGTTTGTTCTCATTGTTTTCAAGGGTAATGTGCTTCAACAAGCTGTTGGGTATATCCTTTACAATGTGCCACTTCAATGGGAAATAGCCAGTCCACTTGTCCTGTTGCCAATACTCCATGCTCTTGTTAAAATCAACTGGCCCTACCATCTCCGCAAGGCCAACAAATTGTCCGCTAGTATTTACCTAGACGAAAAAGCAAAAGAAAACACCTTATAACCGAGAATAGTGATGAAACATGTAAAAGAGCCAATTGAATCTACATGCTTACCGAGAAGAAAAGAAATACAGGGCAACTGCCAGATTTCTGCTGAGCCTCCTGATATGCTGCATCAAGCTTCTTGTTCCCATTTGGTGTGCTTGCCCAGACATTATACTTTATACTCTTATGGACATCATCCTCACTGTAAGACTTGATAATAAAGAATTTGGCATCAGCATAATCCTCAGAGAAATCTGCTTTGTTATATTGTTCCCTGTCTGGAATAGAATGTGTCTCATCCTTTGCTTCATTAACAGTTTCAATTGGTGATACATTCTGCCCCTTAACAACTAATGTGACAGGTAGAAAACCTTTTTGGTTTTTAAAACCCTTAGCCCTTGGTCCCCTGTTTAGTTCATTCAGACCATCGACACTCTCATTGCGATAACCAAAGTGACCATTGCCTCGCCCTCTAGGTCTATATTTGCTGTCCCCAGTGAGCCACCCATTTGCATTTATCCTCGAATCATAACCAGTAGATCCAAAATCCATACCAGATCTAAAAGTGTTTCCATATTGACCATAAAACTTGTTAGGGTACATCCCATTTATGAATCCATGAGTTGATCCCACCCCAGACATTGGACCAGGATGATGCAAACCCTGTATGGTTAAAGTAATATCATTGTAAGTATAGATGTTAAGCCAAAAAAAGAATTTTCATGTCAATCACCATATATTCATAAACACGGACTTATCTATAGCCACAGCAAATAATACAAATGACAAATACAACACGATTTAAGTGAAGCAGTAGCAAAAATCCAGTTAATAATCTACTGTTTACTATCAACATGATAACGAAATAAATTGCACACAATTCAATAAAGGCTGAAGCAATTCAGAAGATATAGATTCTGACATCATGTAGACCAAGAATATGTAAAACAAGTAATAACTTGGGCATTTTGGCAAATTTTCAAGCTGTGTAGTGACCAACTGGATCTAGCAACGCTTTTAGCCAGATAAATAAGAACCATAAGTACCTTTATCATTTAGAACAGACAAAAATAAATTTAAAAAAAAAAAAAAAAAAAGATTTCTTCATATTGAATAACGAAATAAATTGACACAATCTCAATAAAAGGCTGAAGCAAATTCAGAAGAATAGATCTGAACATCATGTAGACCAAGTAATATGTAAACAAGTAATAAACTTGGGCGCATATTTGGCAAATTTTACAAGCTGATGATATGACCAACTGAATTTAGCAACGCTTTTTAGCCACGATAAACTAGAACCATAAGTACCTTTAATCATTTAGATACAGACAAAAATAAATTTAACCAAAAAAAAAAAAAGAAAAAATAAATTTAAAAAAAAAAAAAAAAAAGATTTCTTCATACCATATAATTGTTGTTTTGGCGGAAATTGTGGTTCCTTGAAGATGGTACATTATTAGCCTTCATGAAGGAAGAAGCCATACCAGTGCTTCTATACTTCCCTTCAAAGCCAAATCTTGGATCCTGATAACCAGAAGTAGGCACTCCCCCTGGCAAAATACCCCTTCCATTTGTATTATTTGAATTCAGCAATGAATTTTGATATGTTGATTTAATAGGAGCTAAGCCATTGTTTCCCTTTATTCCTGCACCACTGACAATTCCGCTAGAATTCCCTTTAGTGGCTTCTGCAGGCAAAGACTTCTGGTCAGGGGGAGTTGTGGAAGAAAGATCCCCTTGAGAAGAGGGTTCCTGACTAGGAGTGAATGGCCCGCTATTTGGTGTCAGCGGTTGGAAATAAGGAGGATATTGATAGTGCTGAGGCCCATATAGTTGGCCGTCATTGACCAGCGTTGGAACGGGGGAAGTTGCAGGTGAATATGGGCCGTAAGGTGCATATCCATAACCATTATGATACATAACAGACCCATTGTCTGGATAAACACCCTGCCAGATGAAATAAGCACTTAAATAGAGCACTGCGACTTTAAGGTAAGAAAGACCAAAGTAAATAAACCAAACTCAGAGAACCTGCTATGGACATTAGATTTTCACCAAGCATACTTACAGATGCCATCTCAACACCATCAGTATTTGCATATCTAGAATAGTCATCCCACTCAGTACCACTCCCATTATAGCCTGCAAGAATTTACAATCATATCAAAAAAATTTCTAAACTACAGAGCATACGTCACTAATCTGGTTATTAAGGATCCTGAACAATCGGACCTCATACTGAATTTAAAGAAGCCTCTGTAAAATATAACTCAAAATTTAAACTGATTATCTTACTTCCATAATAATAGGCAGGGGAGGCATAACCATTAGGAAGGTAGCACATCGTTGGATCCATTAAATCAGGCAGAAAAGGTGTCACTGACCGCTCAGCTGAGGGGATCTGACCATTTGCTGAAACACCCGACTCCACACCACCATATTGGTAAACAGAAGTCTACCCAATAGACAGAGACCAACTGTCAAATCAATAATTCTAAGTGCAACTTTAACTCAACTTTGATGATCAGCAAAAATTGAAATTACCTTCTTGGTGGGCTCAGGAATTTCCAAAGTCTTTGTTTGAGTATCTAAGGACAAAGTCTGCAACAATTCTGCAGCTTCTACAGGAAGGAAAAACGTAAAGGACCACGAATTTTACATGCTTTTGGGACACAATCATTAAGACATACTAATAAAGTCCACAAAATTCTTCATAGATTAAGTATCCCTCAAGCCCAGATCATAAAATTCATGTTACATCGAAAAGAGAATGATTGCATATCAAATATCTAACAAAAACAAAATCAAAACAATAATAGTTTCAGTCGCCAATGAAATAACTCCTGCAGCCACATATAGGATAGAAACCAGTAAACTAAATCGAGTGAATTATGGCATCCATTTGCAAAACGAAACATACACTGATTAAACAGAAAAGATAGATCTCCACAACGATTACAAAACAATATCTAGTAGAACAAGAGCGTCAAAAGAAAAAAAAACCAATATAACAGACTGGATATCGATTCTAAAAGCACATATCAAAACAGATAATGAAAATCCAGAAATGAAACTCCAGGAAATAGAGAAAGGATACCTTCAGTGGAAGGAGCAACGGTAGCCATGAGAAGGTAATAATTGAATTGCAGATCTTATAGATAAAACCCTAAATCTCCGACAAATGAAGGTGAAATAGGATTTTAGAGCGGCTAGAGAGAGGAAAGGGGACAACGTAAGATTTCACAGCCGCCAAGGATTAGGGTTTGGGTTTGGGTTTGGGTTTTGGTTTGGCGTTTTAGGAGAGAGGGTTTTGTTCACTCAAAAGTGATGATTCAAATACAACCACGGCTCTCTTTCTTTTGGACCCTACTTGGCAAATTCTAAAGACTTCCACACCTGTCTACTGTATCATTTAATTTAACTTATTGCATAAATAAACATCATAGCCTATATTTTTATCATCCTTAATATATATATATATCTTTTCTTAAAACTATTTTGTTAAAAAAGAACTCACATTTCTTAAATAAAAGATTAAAAGTTTAATCCTTGAGAATGAAAAAAATTTTCTTTAAATATTTATGAGATTGACACGGCGTTAGCAGAATTAAATTTAAGGGAAGAGCTAAGAATACTTGTAGTATAAATTAAAAATATATTTTTTAGAATTATTTTTGGTTATATACAATCATATTTTGCAATCCAATCGTTTATATTTTATAACCAAATTTTGTACTTCAATTGATGAAGGCCAGAACTCTCTTTTCCTTATCAATTAAGATTCAATTCTTCTAGATGCAATATATTTTTTATCAAATAAGGTGTAATTTTGCTAAATACATATAGAAGTGTGAGCCCTTAAAGTTCTTTAGAAAATAGATTTAATTTAAGACTGCATTTGTTTTTGAAAATTAATTTATTTTAAAAAATGTTATCTAACAAAAAATATTTTTCAAATAACTTATTTTTTGTTATTTGGTTGTAATATTGAAAACTAATTTAAAAATATTACAAGTTTAAATGAATGATAAATTTAGTATCTGACCTTTTGATTTTTTTTTTTTTTTAATTTGGTACATGAATGGAAAATCTTTAAAATTGGGTAGTCCAAATTTAAAAAACACTAATTTAATGTTGAATGTTAATCTGAAGACGAAACATGATTTTAACAAAGTGTGGGCCCACAAATGTCCAGTCATCATCATTAACACTAAATAGTTGATTAGAAAAATACATAATTTGTCATGGCAAAACACTAAAAATGACAAATATGCCTTAGGGTTAACAATATTTTTGGTATCTCAACTTTTAATTTTTTTTTTATTTTGGTGTCTGAACGGAAAAATATTGTCAATCAGGTGTTTAAACATTTTAAAATTTATATCGTGTTAAACAATTTTAAAAATTTAATATCAGTGTTTAAAACATTTTAAAATTTATATTCAGCAAGTTTAAATTTTTTAAAATTTACGATCAGGTAATTCTCCATTGAGCTTGGACTACCGAATCCTCAATTGGCATTGTGATTTAATTTTTTGTAATCTCCAATTGGCAATTTGTGATTTAATTGTGTTGGTGCTAACATGCTCTGTTTTTATTCAAGTCAGCCACAACACGTATATTTCCTACTCTCTTTTCCTTCTAGTAAATCCTAATCTGGTTCTCTCTACGTGGCTACCCTCCCCTTCTATCCGTTTCTGTCTAACCAGAACTGTCACTTTTCTTCTCTAAATCCTCATGGCATAGAGAGTTAACTCAAATGGAGAAATTTGTTTACTAATCTCAGATTTTTTGCTGCAATTCTGGAACTAATTCGTGCATGGAAGATTCCGAGACGCATTGGGCCGACCACGCTACTTGGGCTTGACTTTTTGTATTCAGGCTTGGCATCATTTAAACAAAAACATTGTATTGTTGCTTAATTTCACTTTTAAACTTTTTTTTTTTTTTTTTTTTTTGTGGCTTTCGTTGTGCTAGAAATTTTCAACTAGTCTTCTAGAATATTTATCATGTTATAGATGAACGATTCCCTACTTTTATCTGTATAATAATAAAATATATTAAAATAATAATACTAGACTTCTAAATAAACTCTAACTAATAAATAATATAAAATTTATAATTCTTATCTTAACATAACTAACCTGGATCCAGTATATACCCAAATTTACTCATGTCACCACCCGATTCCACGGGCCTAACCGGCACTAGGGCCCAAGTAAGCTTAAAGTCCCCGAGGTCCGTAGTAAGCCTGAAACACTAAAAATTTATTATCTCTATATAATTTAAACGTGCACGGCTGCCTACGCAACAGCAATCGCCGGAACCGCTAGCGGAGGGGAGGCGCGACTACACAGTGGCGATCGGTGACTGGAGTTGCTATGCGTCATCACCCAGAGAGAATCGCAGCTCGCTTGCTTGCTGTGTTCATTGAAGGCGGAGTCCGGGAGGGAGGAGTGGCGCTGGTGGTCCGACGATGAGGAGAAGTGGCGCTCTTTTGCTTCGGTGGTCGGAATAAAACCAGGAAAGGAGAGAGCGGCGAGGAGAGGGCGTTGGAGAAGAATAAGAAGAGAGGAAGAAAAAGAAAAAGAAAATAAGTTGGTTTCTAGATCATTCCGGTTCGATTTGAACCGATTTGGTCTGACTCAACGATTTGGCTCGGTTTGCAAGTTTTTCACTTGGTTTTCAGGTTATTCATGTAGTTTTCGAAAAATCAATTTGATTTTCGAGTCCGGTTCGATTTATTCTGATTATTTTAGTTAAATTCCGTAACATTTTCTCCATTTGCTCAATAATAATAAAAATATAATTAGTAATGATATTTGATTTTTAGGAAAATTAATTTATATATATACACAATTGATTAATTTTAGGAGTTTCATATTGTCTCTCAAAATTTTAACTGTTCTCAATTCAAAAGTTTCGACAATATATTTGGGCTTGGGCCCAATTCACAAAATTTTGGACTCAAGTTAAGATTGTTTGGTGTTTGTAGCCTACATAGTTGAAAATTGAGATTTTTGATTTAATAAAAATTTGAAAGTTTTAAAAATAAAATTACGGGGTGTTTCAACTCAAGAGATGGATTAATTCACAATTTACTACACCTCAAATTTTGAGAGCTTAACAAATAGTTTTGCTTTAGCCGCATTAGAGCTTTATTTTTCTCTTTTTTTCTTTATTTCCTTTTTCTTTTTCTATAATTTTTATTTTTTCACGATTTTCCTTTCATTGTTTTTCCTATTTTTGTTTCTTTCCAATTCAATTTCTGTTTCTCTATTCAGTTTCATGGGATTTTACTTTATTTTATTTTCAAATTTCAAATTTTATAATTTTTTTCGATTTTTCTTTAGATCTAGGTTTTAATTTGTTTAGAGACTATGGCAATGGAGAGCTTTATCAAATTTTTTTAATAAGTTGTGACTTTGCAAAAAATATAGTTATTATTAAAATACAAATATTTTAGTTTCAGTTGGAAAATTAATTATTTTTTAGAATAAAAATAAATAATCCATTTGAGAATTTGTGATTTTCAATCAAAATCTAAAAATATATACTTATTTCCAAGCAAGCTATAAAGGTTGATGATGAGTTAATTTTCTTCTTCTCTGAAGTTTCCTCAGAAAATGAACATGTTTGAGGCACAATGGAGATGTTGAGAAGTAAAGACATTCAATAGGAAATTAGGTGTTTACGGTAAATTAGGGAACTTAATAATATGTTCATGTGGAATCCATATGGCTAGCTGATTTGGAACTCCTTTATACCATGTTGTCTGCCACATGAGACAAAATTGGTCCCACAATTACATAATTATATTTTCGGTGAACCAAATTAGACTGAGACACAAAATGCAAATTTTAAAAATTCATGCATTCAATTGACAATATTTTTCATTTGGACACCAAAATAAAAAAAAATCATTTATCCTTATGCCTTTATTTATTATTATTTATTGCATAAACTTTAAAATCATTTATCATTTAAAATCATTTATCAAAATTTAGGTACTAATATTTTGCAGAAGATGATTGAGGATAACTTAGGGAATGACACCATCTATTGTCAGAAAATTTATAGGCATAACGTACTTCAAAGAGGAATGCCACTCGAATAAGTTCTTTTGCATCAACCTTTGGCTATGATGCAGTTCTGCACCAACAGAGGTTGTGGTTTCCTTCAATTAGAGTGGCAAAATAAAATGGCTTAAGTCTAGATGATTATACACAAGTTATCGCAATGGAACTAGAGGAATTGATGAAGCACGCCTGCAAGCTTTCAGTAGAAAGGTAGTGTAAGAAACAAAGGGTTGCCAAGGCCTACAACAAAAGAATTCCAAAGAAATCATTCCAAGAAAGAGATTTGGTGTGAAAAGTAATCTTACCATTGCGTCCCAATTGTAGAGAATATGGCAAATGGTCTTCGAATTGGGAGGGTCCCTTTCGAGTTTATAAGGTCCTTAGAGGAAATGCTTATTAGCTGTCGAGTTTCTCAAGAGAGCCACATAAGATAAACATCAATGGTCATTACCTCAAGATGTACCATCCCACCATGTGGGAGATGAAGGAATAACAACAATGAAATCGGCCTTGAAAAGAAAAGTTACCTGCAGTAAATAGCTCAATAACTATAGATAGGTGATATGTCGATACTATGGCCAAGTATGTAAAAAGAAATACAGGCAAAATTATACTATAAAATAAAGCATGTAAATAACCACTCTCATGGTAATTCATGAATAAATTGAACAAGCCTATTGGTCGTTTCTTATATAAATATGCAAAGGTCGAATTCATGGCTTTAAATACATCTCAAACAAATATCCTGGAAAGAGACATAAGTACATTAAAACAATCTAAATAAAGAGAAATCAGATGAAGAAGAATCAATTGAGGCCAACATCGTGGAACTGACGCCAAGTCTGTTGGTGCTGTGAAACAGTAGAGGAGTATGTCTTACAGCTCTCCACCTAAGCTTGTACTTGAGGGTTTTTTATCCTTAATCATCATACTCTCGACCTTAACAAAGTTAGCCTCTATAATCTATTCTTTACTAAGGCATTCCTCAAACGTAGTGGGAGCAGCAACTTCACCTTCTAATAGAGCAATCTCAACCTTAAAAGCATCTACTTGTGGAAGAAGATCCTCTTTGCATTTCTTGAACTTTGAGACTTGATGAGCTGCAGTATTCACTTTTGCAATAGCCTGTTGATATCTGTCTCTTCTGGTTATGAAGTCTCTGATAAAAGACTATATCTCTATATCTGAAGAGATAGTTTGATGGTGAGAAGAAAATAACTCTCTAGTTTAGGATTGGATCTCCTGTAGCTGGTTAGAACCATCTATATTACTCACCACATCTAATGTAGAGAACACATGGCTACGTTG